TAATATTATTTATTTTATAATGTTCCTAAGTAATATTATTTATTTTATAATGTTTCTAAATAATATTATTTATTTTATAATGTTTCTAAATAATATTATTTATTTTGTGATGTTTCTAAATAATATTATTTATTTTATGATGTTTCTAAATAATGTTATTTATTTTATAACGTTTCTAAATAATATTATTTATTTTGTAATGTTTCTAAATAATGTTATTTATTTTATAATGTTTCTAATATTATTTATTTTATAATGTTTCTAAATAATGTTATTTATTTTGTGTTTCTAAATAATATTATTTATTTTATAATATTTCTAAATAATATTATTTATCTTATGATATTTCTCTGACTATGTATGTACAGAAAGAGGTTTCTTGCTGTTGTATTATAATGTAATTTATTTATTGATTATTTATTATATATCGTTTTATTATTATAAGTAGCTACTGTTAATATTAAAAATGTATTATATATATATATATATATATATATATATATATATATATATATATATATATACTCTCTCGGATTTTTGTTTACCGTGATTTCGCTGTTACACGAAAATTTACATATATATAACGATCTACATAGTGATCTGCCCTTTTTATTTTTCATCACCACTCAATTATTCTGTCAGCTCTCAGTTATTTTCTCAGAAATCAAATTCTCCGCGACACATACCCACACCACCAGTTTTAGATTGACTTCGAAATCCAAAATTAAGATTCGACCGCCGTTTGAAATTCAAATTCAAAATTCAAGCTCGAAATCGACATTTAAATTTCAAATTTCCCTTTTAATTTCATAGCCGACCCACCGTCGGAAACGACATTTTACTTCGACACGAACGAGCAATCTTACCAAAGTCTGTAAGTAGTCTTCCGTTTTTTCGAGTGAATGAAACTAATTACATTACATACCAAAGCCAAATATAACATTTGGAATTTGGAAGTTTCTACTGAATTACAAGTGATCAAGAAAGATTGTTGATCCATTGAAACATATAATGGATAAACAATATTAATTAAGTTCACTGTCTTTGCGTCGAATTCTAAAATATTGTTACTATTATTATTAAAAGAAACCACGTATTCTTCACGATTAAAAGTTTATTCAAAATTAGTGCGACGGATTTCCGATTGAATTAATATCAATTAATAATAGTCCGATTGAATTAATAATAGTCCATTCCGACAGAAAAACGTAATTTCAAAAATCTATTTATTTCAACTACTGTCAATTAATGCTAAGCGTCCGACCAATGATATCTGGCCACAAAAGTGAGAACTAAAAATCCAAAGAAACCTGAACGAATCGTTGGTCGAGAATTCCTCGGAAATGCGAAGAGAAATTAGTTTCCACATCGTTGAGTGATACTGAAATGATCCGAGTGTCAAATCAACGAACAAACGACGCCAAATTAATCCCTACGCCGCGTCTTCGCAGCCTAATGAACTGACACCGGAAACAGACTCGAGCTCCGAATGACTCGGACTTCGGAACATTCCGAAAAAATTCCCGAAAAAATTGCGTGACAGTGACAGAAACGCGAGACCACTGGCGAAGGGAAAACGAGGAGGGGGGAAACCGGATGATCGTGTCCCGTATCCCCGTCAAATTCTCGTTACGCTTGATTAGCGGGATATCCGTCGCTCGGCTGTCCCGCGTTTGAAGCACGCGGCTGATTTATCGGTGACACCGAAATTCATCAGATCAAATAGCACGCGTGTACCGCGTGCATACGTGTCGTCAGCGTAGGCCGGGAGACACGCTACGAAATGGCGGCTGCGACAATCGCGCAAAATGGCGTAACGACGCCTGAATAAATAATGTCAACGTTGTGTATTTTTACTCACCGGAGACGGTGAGATAGACGGTCCTGATTAACGGCGGATGAGCACTGACTTGACACTCGTACACGCCGCCGTCGCGTTCGGTGGCTGATCGCAGGAGCAACCGCCAATCGTTCGGCTTCTCCAGGGCCAGCGAGAACCTCGAGTCGCTGGCGTACGTGTCCAGGCCGATGGTGAGCAGGTGCAGCTCGTCACCGCGTCTGCGGACCCACGACACCTGAAAATCAAACAGAACACTGCGCTTTCAGAGGAGGTTTCTCGCGAAAGGTTTTGCTATTGGTGGATCGGTGATAGGAACTGTTTGTCGAGAACTTCAAAATTGCAGTATTTCTCAGTTTTCTCAGTTTTATATTAGTATATATATAGTATAGTAGTACTATATATGTAGTATATATAGTATAGTATATAGTATATATAGTATAGTATAGTAGCACTATATATATGGTATATAGTATATATAGTATAGTATAGTAGCACTATATATATAGTATATAGTATATATAGTATAGTATAGTAGCACTATATATGGTATATAGTATATATAGTATAGTATAGTAGCACTATATATATGGTATATAGTATATATAGTATAGTATAGTAGCACTACATATATGGTATATAGTATATATAGTATAGTATAGTAGCACTATATATATAGTTTATATATATATATGTATATATATTCTCAATGTCGAGAACTTCAAAATTGCATTTATATTATTTCTCAGTTTTCTCAGTTTTATATTAGTTAAATTGCAGTATTGCACATTTTCTCAGCTTTAAGTATGTTTAAATGTAACCCAGGCAAAGCAGATGATAAGTTTATCACTTCTCAATCATTTCTATCCAGTGATATCGTATCGACGATATTCAAGAGAAAATGAAAGGGACGAATCGATTATATACGGTTTTGGTCACTCGTTATGGTCCGCAATCCAGTTGCCAGCGCAGGTGGTTAAAGAATGGAGAAAGGGAAGTGAGAAAGGGGTAGTTTGTAGATCATTTGTATGACTATGTGATATTATAGTTTCGAATGATACTGCAGTACTATTCGTGGATAGTGATGATAATAGAATACATTCAGTAATATGATGATAATACATAATAATTCAATTATATATTATACTGTAGCATTACAGTATATCATTATATAACGATACTATAGAGTTATAATGATACTCGAGTACATTTGATGATAATTCATATTGTACTAGCAATATTATACTTACAATATATATTGTTGTATAGTATTAACAACGTAGATGTCCACAACTTTTTCTCTTTCCGTAATTATGAGGATTTTTTAATAAGTTCATCATCACTTTTATCAACTGTTTTGCCCAGCTATTTTGTCCACAGAATAACGTGTTCTTTGTTTAGTTTCAACGTCACGTGTATTTCAAGTAGATCTCTCCTCCGGACTCATTTTTACAAATTTAATTATTCGTTACAATAATGCGCATTTAACCGACCGTATTTCACGCGAATGTTATGCTTTCGATAACTTCTGTACGACTGCGGAGCGAAAATATTCGACTTGTTCTGACTTACCTGCCCCGAGGCTGCGCAATATTTACATTTTCGTTTTCGTACCGCAGAAATTCTTGGTAATGTTAGATACACATGTTAGATACACATCCACGCTCAAAATTCCAAGAATTCTGATGTAATAACCTACACATTCTCTTTAGTTTAGGATCCATAATACCTGTAAGAGAACATAGAGTGAAAACCTCTCTCCTTTTGGTTTCTTGTATCTATTGTACAATGGCATAATTCAATAATGTAATATTATAATAATGTAACATTATAATTCAATATGTAATTCAATATACCGATAATGGCATAGTTCAATTCACATTGTACTGTATTATACTGTAGCATTGCTATATTATATAGTATTGTATTATATTACTATATATTATTTTATAATATGTGATAATATAATACTAATATAGTGTTAATATAGCATTTCATATTGCACTGTATTATACTGTAGCATTGCTATATTATATAGTATTATATTATATTATTATATATTATTTTATAATATATGATAATATAATATTAGTATAGTGTTAATATAGCATTTCATATTGCACTGTATTATACTGTAGCATTGCTATATTATATAGTATTGTATTATATTATTAAATATTATTTTATAATATGTGATAATATGATATTAATATAGTGTTAATATAACATTTCATATTGCACTGTATTATACTGTATCATTGCCTTATTATATAGTATTGTATTATATTATTATATATTATTTTATAATATGTGATAATATGATATTAGTATAGTGTTAATATAGCATTTCATATTGCATTGTATTATACTAGTATTGCTATATTATATAGTATTGTATTATATTATTATATTATTGTATTATTATTATATTATATTATTTTATAATATGTGATAATATAATATTAGTATAGTATTAATATAGCATTGCTATAGTATTGAATAATATATAATTCCATAGTATTAATATAGTATTATACAGTACAGTATTATAAAGATGCTACAGTATTATATTACAAAGATACTAGAATACCAATAATGGCACAATTTAATTTATTTTATACTTCATTAGACTGTATACACTATTATATAATATTGCATTGCATATATATGTATATGTATTGTATTGCAATATCATATATATATATATATTACTACACAGTATCATATTGTAAAGATACTAATAACGATGGAAAATCTATACTGAGAAGAATATCTTCTTGTAATATAATTAAAACAACTAGAACAATCAACATTACGAATGATATAAATCACGACGAAATAGAAACAAGTAAATAACTTTTACAATAATTTACACGTTATTCGTATGATTCAAAAAGCACAACAATATTTTACATTAGCACGCAAGCGTACCAGTATCATATATTTTCACCACCAATCTTTCATTTGCAAGAATCCTAAGAACTTTATCCTACCTCCTGTCCAAAAACATTTGTAGAAGAAAACAACATTGTTTCGTACAACGAAGACAGAGAAAAGAAACAAAACTCGAACAAGGGGAGAGGAGAACCTCCCTCTCCTCCCGCTGCTTCTCTCCCGACAACAACGGTCAAAGAACAACTCCGTCATCTTATCATCCCCGACGCGCATCGACGTTTCTCTCGCAGCGTTGCGCGAAACGAAAGTATGTGCATACATATATTCCTGCTCTGGAATCCTGCTCGCGGCGGAGATTCGCGTTCGTACAAGGCGTTGGTATACGCCTGGCCGTATCAATCTCGACGCGCGAAAGAGCCGAGTTATAGCAATGTAAATTTAATGTAAATCGGACGTCCTTTCCACCGGTCTAGCGGCGCGTTCGCGTATTCGAATTCAAATATCATCGTTGCACTAGGGTAGACACGGCTATTCCTCCGCCCACCATCTCCCGCGAGCTGCTCCTGGCCAAGAGATAATCACCTCCTCTGTCGGGGAGGTTCTGCACGCGGCTCAAAAGAGAGGAAGGTGTCGCAAACGGCGCAGTAAAAATCTCCCGAGGAATGGAAACTTCGTTGACGAGAGAGCAGCGGGCGTGTGTCAAAGCGCGCGCTTGGATTTGATTTTAAAAAGCCAAGGCAGCGACGAGACTTTGGGGAAGAAATATAGCGTCCGAGCTGCGCGACTGATTGAAATTATTATTATTATTATTATTATTATTATTTTCGAATGAGGTTATTTTGATTAAGGTTCTTTGGAATTTTTAGATAATACTAGAATAACATACTACTACAATAGATAATACTACAAGTGCCTTCGGGATTCTTTCGAATTTTCTGCTAGAAGTTCTCCTTAAGTTCGTTTTATTTTGGTTCCCTTGGAAATTTATCTGCGTGGTTCGTCGAAGAACAGACAGGAGATGTCGAAGACTTACGACCCTTTTTTTAACTAGGAGCCTCGGGGTAGACGATAAATATTAATAACACTTTGAAACTTTCACGCAATTTCAAAAGTGTTAGAGCCCAATACTTTCTTATTAGAATTTTCGCTGCATTTTAGACGAACATTTTTTTTTTTTCCAGAGACTGTTAAATATGTGAGAACATTGTCAACCATTTACAAACACTTTCGAAATATCGAAAGCAACAGAGTGTAGGCTAAATTCTTTCCCCTCTGCTAGGTACTAGATAAATATTAATTTCTCTGAAACTTTCACGTAACTTCGAAGTGTCAGAGTCGATACGTACTGCACGAATATTTTTTCCTCAAGACTATTAATTACAAACAATCTCGAAAATATTGAAAGCAATAAAAATACGACGTCGGATACTTTTAACCTCTTGCGCTGAAAAATTGCAATACTTTTCAAAATATCAATATTTAAAATTTGCAATATTTCCTCAGTTTTATGTATATATTGAAATGTAACCCAAGGCGAAACAAATAATGAATTTATTACTTCTCAGTAATTTCTATCCAGTGATACACCGATGAATTCAGAAAGAAGACGAGATTTGGTCACTCGTTATGGTCCGTGAACCAGTTACTAGCGCAAGAGGTTAAACGTTCTTATCAATGTGCACGCTCTACGGATACGTACCTCGAGTATTATCCAAAAAAAAAAAAAAAAAAAAAAAATGGATAAATAAATCGGCGTATTATAAATCGTTCAGGGAGTAATCCATTACCAGGAGCCAGCTGCGACGATTCGAGGGCACCGAGTGTAACGTCTCGCGAGTGAAATTCCGCCGGTACAGATTTTAATACAGTGCTCGCCGTTTGATACGAAAGAGTTAAAGAATCGTTAGGCGCGGCCGAGTCGAGGCTTGGAGGAGACGATTTCCCGAGGCGCGTTGCGCAGGTTCGAGGCACCGAGGACAGACTGAACGGACGTCGACGGTCGTTTGTCACTATTATAAAGGGCTGAGCAGTAAATAATTACTTCTTAGAAGACTCTCGGCTGCACGACTGAAGCGCGTTTATTTTGAATTCTCGTTTCGCACGACCTCTCCCTGTCGGCGATTAATACTCGAAAAAGAACCTCGAAATAATATCGACAGTTCTCATTCTGTGCACGAGTGAGTTTCTTCGTAGCTACGTATCTTCGTGGAAACGAAAGAAATGAACGTGGAATATTCTGTTAAAATTATCTTGTAATGTTTTCTTTTTTTTTTTTAAATTTGACATCTGACAGAAATATTATGTTCTAATTAAATATATTGACATTTACTGTGTTAAATTATA